AAAGTTTAGATTCTGTCATGTGGCCTCAAGGTCACAAGTTTTCTTTCCCCCCTCCCACTAAGCCTTTCAAGGAGAGAGAAGCTTCCCCTTCTTTAGTTGTGTTCTCATCCCCTAGCCTCAAACAAGTCACATGACGATGAGCTGAAGAGTAGCTATCCTGGTATAATAAAACCTCATTATTGTATTCAGATTCCTAATCTGAATTTGAATTTTTGACTAATTTGGAATTTGGGATAGTCTGGCCAGGGATAAGGGATATCTTTGTGGACAGAAATTTCTTCTTTGTAGTTAGTGAAATTAATGATCTAAGATGATTGAAGGGAGAATATTATTCTAAAGCGTTTCTCTGAGAATTCAATGGATCTGTGATCTTGCCACTGTAGACATACCTTCCAGCAGTGCAGACCACAACCTATCCATGCCTTCTCATCCTATGTGCTCTTATCCATATCTTCCTAAAAATAGTCCTGGGGAGGGGCAGGGGGGAAGGTAGGGGAGGTTGGGGAGAAGCTCAATGTGTAGGAGGACTTCAGTTAGATCAAAACAGCATGTGAGCTGTTCACGGTCACTCCTTCCTTGTGGGGCATGACTAGCTCACCTCCCTTTCTAGTCATACCATTCTTTGATGACTACCACATGTCTCTCTACTGCCCTTGGGTTGACCTGTAGCTGTAACGCTTCAGAGACTGTGGTATTTAATATTTCACAGTGTTACACCATTACCAGAAGACTAGTGAAGTTATAAAAATGAGCCTTTGTTTCAGGGAGAAGTTTGGGGTTATTTGAAGCACTGTACCATTTCCAAAAGGTAATCCAGCCAGTTGAAGTCTTTTTGGGTCCTTGACTCTATTGTATAACCTGCCAGATATCCCTCCCAATTTTTGTGGGTTTTTTTTTAAATTCTGAACTTAACAAATGCTAGTTAAAATGAACATTTTCATATATAAAATAGAACTGGAAAAGAGAATAGTTCATGAAACTGTGGATCTCTATTACATATTACCATTTTAAGTATATATTTAATTCAACATGTCACTTTCTTTTTTTCTCTTAATAGAAGTATTTTTTTTCCCAATTACATGTAAAGATAGTTTTCAACATTCATTTTTGTAAGATTTTGAGTTCCAAATTTTTCTCTCTCCCTCCCTTCCCTCCCCTCTCCCCAAGACAGCAAGCAATCTGATATAGGTTATACAGGTACATTATATATGTGTGTGTGTGTATATATATATATATATATACATATATACACACACATATATATGTATATATATGTATATATATGTGTGTGTATGTATATATACACACATACACATATATGTGTATACATACACACATGTGTGTATCATGTCAAACATATTTCCACATGTCATGTTATAAAAGAATAAGAACAAAAGGGAAAAAAAACGTGAAAAAGAAAAAAACAAAAACAAAAACATAAGAATAGTATGTTTCAAACTGCCTTCAGACTCCATAATTCTTTCTCTAGATGTAGATAGCATTTTCCACCACGAGTCTTTTGGAATGGACTTGGATCATCAACATGTCACTTTCAAAGCTGTCCTACTCAACTCGTCTGGGTTTTTTCTTTCCTTCTGTTCTTTGTTGCATTTTTAAAAATGTTTCAATGACCCTCTCTCTCTCTCTCTTTTTTATTTTTTAACAATCCTAAGTTCTTGGTCTCTCTCCCCTTACACCTCCCCAACTGGAAAAAAAAAAAGAAAGCGAAACCCTTGTAACAAACATGCATAGTCAGGCAAAACAGATCTTGACATTGGCCATGTCCCAAAATATTTGTCTCTTGCTGCACCCTGAGTCCACTACCTCTCTGTCAGGAGATGGGTAGCCTGCTTCATCATCCATTGGTCCTTTGGAATCATGGTCATTCTTTGCATTGATCAGAGTTCTTGAGTCTTTAAAAGTTGTTTTGTTTTTGTTTTTGCTTTTACTTTTAGGCAATTGGGGTTAAGTGACTTGCCCAGGGTTGCACAGCTAGTAAGTGTCAAGTGTTTGGTCTGAAGTCGGATTTGAACTCAGGTCCTCCTGACTTCAGGGCTGGTGCTCTATCCACTGCTTCACCTAGCTGCCCCAAAAGTTGTTTTTCTTTATAATTATGTTGTTATTATACAAGTTGTACTCCTGGTTCTCACTTCCTATTGCATCTGTTTATATAAGTCTTTCCAGGTTTCAAACCACCACTTTTATCATTTCTTATGGCACTGTGATATTCTATTACATACATAATTTGCTCAGCCATTTCCCCAGTTGATGGGGGCCCCTTTAGTTTCCACTTCTTTGGCCTAACAAGAAGCTGCTAAAGAGATTTTTTTTGGGGGGGGCATGTAATACTTCCCAGCTTTGCGTCTACTGCATATCTACCAAGCTCACCATCTACTCTTTTATCCAAATCACTATTAAAAATGTTGAACAGCACCAGGGCTAGGGCCAGATCCCTCCAGTATTCCAAAAGAGACTTCTGCAGGTTGATATCTACTCACCTATTAATCTCTAACCTTCTGGGTCCAGTCTTAGTACTTGACATAGTGGTTAGCACATAGTACGTGCTTAATAAATGCTTTTTGATTAATTGATTACTAAATCCACCTACTGTACTATCATCTGTGTCTCTCCATCTTATCTGCAAAAATAATATGAAATGTGAAATACATGCAACCTAAGGATTCTATTTCCCTAATTCTCTTAATCTATCAGTCTAGTAACCTGGTCAAAAATGGAGATGAGGTGACTATGCCATGATCTCTTCTTTTTGTTGTTGTTTTTTTTTTGCTAGGCAATGGGGTTAAGTGTTATGTGTCTGAGGCCGGCTTTGAACTCAGGTCCTCCTGAATCCAGGGCCGGTGCTCTATCCACTACACCACCTAGCTGCCCCGCCATGATCTATTCTTGATGGATATATGTATGATACTGTGCGTCACTATTTTCCATCTTAAATACTCATGAACAATCTCTTTAATAATATAATATGGTTTAGAATGTTCCCAGGAATTAAAATTCAAACTAATCAATCTAGAGGCTAAAGGCTCTATCCTCTTCCCTGTTTTCAAAGTCAGGATATTTTCCTATCTCCAATTATGTAGCTCCTCTCCTGTTTTCCCAGATACTTCAAAAATGATCTCTCCTCTTGGTTCCATCACAACCTTGTCTCATTAATGGGCAAAAGGAATAAATAAGCATTTACTAAATGTTTACAATGCCAGGCATTGTGCTAGGGCCCTACAAATATCTTATTTTATCCCCATAACCTACCCTGTAAGGTAGATGCTATCATTATCCTCGTTTTATGGTTGAAAAAACTGAAGGAGATAGAAGTTAAATGACTTGCCCTGGGTCACACAGCTAGTAAGTGTCTAAGGCCAGAACTGAACATGAGTCTTCCTGACTCCTGGCCCAGAGTTCTAGCCACTGTGCAACCTATCAAAGACAGAGTGTCTGTCTGTGTCTGTCTGTCTTTCTCTCTCTGACTGTCTCTTTCTCTGTCCCCCTCATGATCTGTTTCTCTGTCTCTTTCTCTCTCCCCCTTTCTCTTTCTGCCTTTAATCTCTCTAATCCAGCCTTCACACTGCTGCCAAAGTAATATTTCCATGGCTTTTTAAAAAATTGTCTCTGAGGATAAAATACAAACTGTTTAGCCTGGAATCTAAAGCCCTCTATAATCTGGCTCCAAAAAAATCTAGCCTTTCTTCCAAATTACTCCTCTTTATGTGATGTAGGTTCTAGCCACTGTTCTCACTTGGCATGCTGTCTCCCATTTCTGTACCATCAGAAAGAATGTTTGTCCCTCATGCCTAGTATCTTCACCTTTTGGAATTCTTCTAGGTTCCCTTCAGGTGCTATCTATGCCATTTCTCCAGTCTCCTGGCTGAAAGTATTTCTTTCTCAGATTTCCTAAAGCACCTTATGCTGACGGTGCTAACAAGGTCATTTTGCTAGTACAGCTCTATTCAAACATGGAATCATTCTTGGTCTCCTTTTCCCCCTTTGCAACAGCAATGTGGCCAAAGACAGGGCTATACAACAGGATAATAGGGATTGTTGGTGAGCTCTTTTGGTCATTTGGACTTCTGGTCATGAGGCAGACAGCACCAGGGGTTGCCAGATGGAACAGATACCACAGAACCATAGCTGATCAGAGCTGCAGTAGGCTGCAATATTTTACCAACAGAGAATTATGCAATAGAAATACTTTCCTAAAGGGTGTTGTCAGAGACAGAATATTGCAGAGCTGCCGAAATCATATCCATACAGTCCAGCTGGGAAAAGGGGGCAGTCAGACATTCTCTCCTTCTGGGGCTGGGAGGAAGTTAGGGTGGGGCCCGACTTAACCCTCTTGGGGTGAAAGCCAGCCTGCTCCTTCCTGTTGCCCAATCTCTTATTAAACTGTTTTTCCCCTCAGGTGAAAATGATCCTGTTCATGCCTCTGAAAAGAAGCTGTCCTAATAACCTAGATAATACATCCACGCTTATTAACTAATGTTGCCTGAAAATGACTGACATGATAACAAATTGGAGAAGTTCCAAACCTCTGAAAACACACAATCGCTTGCTGAAATAACAGTTCATGTTCCTATTGCACATTAAAGTTTACAAAATTATTTCCTTACAATAGCCTGTGAACAAAATCTGAGATACTGCATGAGTACTTCCCCCACCCCACCAATTTCCCTCCAAGATGTGAAATGATCCCTTTGACAATGAGCTAGACTGAATGCAGTCATATAAGCCAAACAGATAATCGACAAATAGACAGCAAGCATTTATTAATTACTTACAATGTGCAAGGTACTGTGCAAGTAAAAAAAAATTTATATTCCTTGCCCTCAACGAGCTTATGTTCTAATGGAGGAAGACCACACACAAAAGGAAGGTGAAGGGGGTTGGAGGAGGAGAAGGTACCCAATGCAGGGTCATGATGGAGAAGTCCAGAGGAGTACAGCGAGGTGGAAATGAAGAGGTGGCTGGAAAACAGAGATTTTACTTACTTGTGAGGGGAGTCAGGGTCACTGTTCCGACTGTGCAAAGTAAATGCACACCATTTTGGAGATTCTTGGATGAGTTCATCTCATCAATTAGGAAAATATTTACAATGCTCGGAACATTGTGTTGGGCTTATCCTGGAACAGAGAGGAGAAGCAGTTCTCAGGAACATTGTGCTTCATAAACAATTTCTGTAGCTGACATTGCTAACAAGGTCATTTTGTTGATATAGCTCTGTTGAAACATGAAGTCAACCTTGTTCTCCTTTTCCCCCTTTGCAACAGCAATGTGGCCAAAGACAGGGCTATAAAACAGGATAATATGCTGTCTGTGCTGGTGAGCTCTTTTGGTCATTCGGACCACAGAACTATAGTCGATCAGAGTTTGTAAAAAATGCAAATTATGAATGAATCCCATTCTTATCCTTGGCAAACCAAAAAGCTCTTATCTTTCTCTGCATTCCTTTATTCCTGAGGAAGGAAAGTAGATGCTATTTCCCTCCTCTAATTTTTTTTATGAGACACGAGTGTGTGTGTGTGTGTGTGTGTGTGTGTGTGTGTGTGTGTGATGTGTGTGTGTGTGTATTCGGTGGGGAATTTCCTCACCCACACAGAAGATCTAGGGAAAAGAAAAACCATGAAAGAAAAATAGATAGTTAATTTTGACTATCTTTACTCAGGGAAGGCAGGATTTTTTTTTCTATTTTCATTTCATTTTAGGTATTTCAACTGCTGTGATCAGATACTGAGGATCTAATTACATGAGATAGTCAAATGTCACCCTAAAGTACTGGGGTCCAAAGTAAAATGTAATTATACTCCATGATTTAATGTTTCATTTCATCCTCTAGATCAGGACTTGGGACAGCAAGCAGTTAAAAGGTTGCTTTTGAGCCAAAAGGGCAAAAGCAGCTGCTGCTATTCTGGGGCTAGTGGAAGTGTTTCCCAGAATATTCCTTTCTAGACATCTGTTCATATTCCTAATAAAATTATTCAAAAGTGGATGAGCAGTCCCATGAGATAGTGAGTGGCCCGTTGTTAAAGGTCCTCAAGTTGAGACTAAATAACTACTTGACTTCTTGTCAGAGAGGTTATACAGAGAATTTCTGCTCAGGTAAGGGTTAGACTGGATGCCTTCTGAGATCCCATGACTTGCTCAGGGCCAGTCAGTTAATAAATATTTATTAAACACCAACCACTGTGTTAAGTGATGGGAGTACAAACAAAGGTAAAAGACAATCCCTACCCTTGAGGAGTTGACAATCCGTGGGGAGACGACATGAAAATAACTTAAAAAAACCAAGGTATAGACAGGATAAATTGGAAATAATCACAGAGGGAAGGCAGGGTGACACAGATAAAACAGTATCTGAGTGGGGATTAGATAAGTAACTCCAAGATCAGGAGTATTTCTATGATGTCATGCTGACTCTGCACAAGAAGCCTTGTAAAATGAGGGGATTGGTTGAGATAATCTCTGAGGTTTCTGCCAGCTGCAGATCCAGGATCCTAGGAGTTCTAAAATCCCTTCTAGCTCTAAATGTTAAATACTACTGCCTTAAGATCCTATGAGTATTAGAATATTGAGTGGAAGGTGACTGGTTCAGGAACTAGGAGTGTCTGCAGACTCTTAGACCAGGCATCAGACCCGAGCTAAACAAGGTTCTAAGTCCTCTTCCTGTAATACCAGGTGACAGTCCATCCTCTTTCCCTAAAACACCAGAAAGATGATTGATAAACACTCAAACAAGAGGGAGTACAGGAAGCTTCCTTTCCTCCAGGAAATTGGCTCAGGGAAGCTTTGTGCCCTTGATCAAATCAAATCAAATTAAGTAACTCACACCCTAAGTTACACTGGAGTCCTGGGAAGAAATGTTTCTTTTTCATGGGAGAACAAAACTGCTTTTGTTCAGTCCCATCCTTGAGCCTAGATGTCCAGTCCTTGGGGAAGAAACTGCTGGCTCCTTCCAATGAGAATTTTGAGCTTTGAATTTTACCAATTAACAAACATTCTGCCAACTTGGGAATGAAAGCTTTACTTTTATAGTTGTGTGCTTTATGTTACACCTGAGTTCCTCACCTCCTTCTCCTCTTCCTCTACTCCTTCAAGGTTCAGTTCAAGTGCTAACTTCTCTATGAAGCCTTCCTCACGTCCCCAGTTGCTAGCATTCTCTGTTTTGTATGTAGTTTGTATATACCTATATGTGTACATATCTCCTCCGTTAGAATGTAGGCTCATTGAATATAGGGGCCGTCTTGTTTTGGGCTGGGTAGATTCCCCTCTCCAAGAAGGGGAAGGCACTGTACTCTAGGAATTAGCTGGCCCAGACCTTCCTTTGTTCTTATAAACTCATTTTCACTCTGTCCATTTCCCACCCTTTCCACTTTTTTCTCTGAGAATTGTAGACAAGTTACCATTATTACCATTATGATTTGCTTCTGGAAAAGGTTTGTTAATGGACTGCTTTTCTCCACTCATCATCTTTGTGACTTCCAAGACTATAACTCTCTAATACATGTTGTTTTACCCATTAGAGTATAAGCTTCTTGAGCATAGGGCCTGAATCACTTTTGTATTTGTATCCCCAGTGCTTAGTCCAAAGAGTTTTTGTTGTTGAGCTGTTTTTCAGTCATGTCTGACTCTTTGTGACCCCATTTAGGATTTTCTTGGCAAAGATACTAGAGAGGTTTGCCATTTCCTTCTCCAGTTCATTTTCTAGATAAGGAAGCTGAGGCAAACAGGATTAAGTGACTTGCCCAGGGTCACACAGCTAGTAATTATCTGAGGCCAGATTTAAACTCATGAAGATGAGGCTTCCTGACTCCAGGCCCAGCCCTCTATGCACTTTATGCACTGAACCACCTAGTTGGTTCATAGTAAGCACTTAATAAATATTTTTCATTCATTCATTCATTCATTGTCTTTACATCCCAGGAACTGAGTAATAAAGGCTAACTAATATAGTATATATTAATATACTAATATAGTATATATTAATAACCAATATAGTGCTTAATATGTACCAGGCACTGTGCTAAGTGCTTTACAATGATTATCTCATCTGATCCTAAATAGTGTCTGGAATGTAATCGGTGCTAAATACACATTTGTTGATTAATTGATCCTGGGTAGAATAGTCTGTAATCCCTCTCCCCAATTCACTGCACATTCATTCTTCAGGCTTTTGGGATAAAAAAAGCTTTTGATTCGGAGAAAGATGTCTGGGGTTTGTATCCTTTCTCAGCCACTCACTATCTGTGTGACAAGTCACTTCTTTTCTCTGGGTTTCAGTTTCCTCATCTATAAAATGAGGGATTGAACTAGACCCCTTAGTCTAGATCTATGGTCCTGACCCCTAGCCCAGAGTCCTCCGTCAAAGTTGGGGTAGGTTTTCCAGTTCATCCTTAAACATCAGAATAGCTCCATTTTGGACCTGGTCTTCCTTTTGTACAGACAAAGCGACAAACATAATCCCAGGGAGACACATGGTACAGTGGAGATTACCTTTGTGACCTTGGGTAAGTTATTTTCCCTCTCTGTTTTAATGTCCCAATGATCTAATCTGTAAAATAAAGGGGTTGGATAAGACGATTTTGTAAATCCCTTCTTAGTTGAAATCCAACACTTGACTATTGAGTTCACTTTGCCATGCCTGGGATCTTCCTGAAGGGGGCACCAGAGGTCTGTGAAGGATGACGGGAGGACAAGGCCTAGGTCAAAGATAATTTACTTGACTCAAGGAGGAACCCATGTAACCTCAATAGGTTAGATTGTGAGGCACTCACCCAGAAGGACCTAGGAAACAAAGCATGTTAGAAATGAAAGGGCCATAAAAGAATAAGTTATAGATTGTCAAAGCTGGAAGAGAATTTAGAGGCCATCTTATCCTAACCCATAATTTTACAGATGAGGAAACTGAGACCCCAAGAGGGGAAGGCCACACACTGAGTCCGTGGAATAGAACAGACTGGATCCCAGGCATCCTGACTCCTAGCCCAGGGCTTTTTCTAAGAATGTTGACATAACAGGGTTTTTTTTTTCCTTTCTTTCTTTCTTTCTTTCTTTCTTCCTTCCTTCCTTCCTTCCTTCCTTCCTTCCTTCCTTCCTTCCTTCCTTCCTTTCTTTTTTCTTTCTTTCTTCTTTCTTTCTTTTTCTTTCTTTCTTTCTTTCTTTCTTTCTTTCTTTCTTTCTTTCTTTCTTTCTTTCTTTCCTTGAGCTAGGCAATGGGGTTAAGTGACTTGCCCAAGGTCACACAGCTAGTAACTGTCAAAGGTCTGAGGCCGGATTGGAACTCAGGTCCTCTTGACTCTAGGGCTGGTGTTCTGTTCTTTGTGCCACTTAGCTGCTCCATAACAGGTATTTTTAGCTGGAATGTAAAGATTAGGAGGGCAGGACAGGGGATCTTCCCAAGGAGGGAAGGCAGATAAGCCGCTGGAGTCAAAACCCTTCTCCTTTCAGATGAGAGAGAGAAAAGCTAAGTTGGGGGGCAGTCTTTATCCTTCACACCAATGTCCTGGCTATTTTCCTATTAAGTCACTTCCCTGCTCAAAACCTTCCTTTCCCAGCCTGGGGCTTTTTCCTTTACACCAAGATGTACTGACGAGTACAGAGGTGCTGCTTTGGATGGAAGCAAAATCTCTAGGAGTCTCCTGTGAAAACATCTATTACTTAATAGACAACAGAAATAAGCATCCGCATCCATTAGCTCGTGAATGCAGCAGTAATGAATTGGCTGGCTGGCTCCAGCATGGCGAGCAGCCAAGAGAGAATGGGATGCAAAAATGGGTCACTGGGGAACGTGGTGAAGGGTCCAGGGCCTTGGCTGTGGGCTAATTGTGTAGGGTCCTTGCTACCTGGGGAAAATAATAGCCCATTGTTCTTTTCGTGGTCCTGGGTAAGTCTGTTTCCTTTTCTGGGGAAATTATGTCCTTAGTTATGTCATCTGTAAAAAGATGGCTCAATATAGCAAATATGGACAGACCATTGGACCTGGGGAAGTTATGAAACTTGGGACTGTCCATTATATAATTGAATAGATACCCCATTGGACCTTAGGTTTTTCCTCTGCTGTAAAAAGAGGAGGTTGACCTAGAAGTTGTATAAAGGCTCTTCCAGGTCTGTTTTTTTTTTTAATCACTAGAATTCAAAATCAGAGATGACCACAAAATGAACT